CTTCAAATCCCACAACCAACGTTTTACGTGCCCTTTTATGGCTAACTTTAACAATTAATTTCTCACTCACCGAAAATCAGTTTTGAGAAAATAAATATACCACGAGTATCTACTCGGAACGTAGAATTTTTCTACAATATTTAATTCAACTAAAATTAAATATTTAGCCATCAAAAATTCAGTCAAAATCGGGTCAAACCCATATTTTATAACTGATTTTTCCAACAAAGACAGATTAAGTACAACTAACATGGCAGTGTTGGTTTTGTGTTGATACTGTGACATGGCCATGTTGGTTGATTTTGGGCCATACGTTTTACAACTGGGCTTAATAACTAAGGCACATGATCATTATATAACATGTTCAGTGCAAGCAAGAGAGAGAACAGATCTGTTGGGAGCAGAAGGCACGCAAGCAGCACAACACACGGAGGCGGCGAATCAGAGGGCTTCTCTCATTCTCTCTTCTTCATTTCTTTTGATTATGAATTTATGATAGCCATGCTTTGCTAATTTATCTTTGTCTTGATTGAAGACGATCGAAACCCTTGACCTACTACTGTGAGATCAAATTAGTTTTTTATTCCAATTCATATATTTTTCGCATCAATGTTTTGTGTGCATATTTTTATGATTGTTATGTTTAGTTGATGGATCGGCCGCCTGTTATGCTATGCATATGATCAATTGCTTGATTGATACTTGAGTCGGATTTAGATCATGTGTCTTTCAATAGAAGCAACTAAGATAGATAATCGACCGGATTTAGGCGTTGTCGTTATTAGGCGAAACAATTGCACAAGTTAATATTTAACGAATTAGTTATTTATTGTTTTGATTGTCGGTCTCGTGTATTTAATGCTATTGCGGGAATAATTCTTCACGATGTTGGGAATTAACTAGTTACAAGAGTCTCGTAGAAGGATTTATTTTGCGTGACTAAATTAGGAGATAGAATTTTCATTCGACGGTAGTTGCGTGGATTGTGAGGTTATATTTTTGCATCAATGATCAGTGGAACAGCTAGGGTGAAAATCAATTTAACCAAGACGTATTTATATTATATTTATTTTTGTTTGTTCATTTTCATTTTACTATTGTTTTTGTTTACTGTTTGATAGCAATTTCTAGTTTAGTTAGATAATTAAATCAAATTCCCCCTTTCTTATCACATAATTGATAGATTTGGTTTACTTCTCCCCGTGAATACGATCATTGCTCACACTACTACATATCCATGTCATTTAGGTCGTCACTATGTCTTAGTCGACCTGCTCTAGCTTACCATGTGTATTCATATGTTCTTAATATGTTGATCTGACTCATCTCTAAAACTGTCAACCTATTAGCAGCATGAATCCGGTTTAGCTCTGCTGCTATGGCTCTATCACTCGTGTATCGCTTCAATGGAGTGCCAACATTAGAGTACTAGAAAGACCTTGCTGGTTGTGACATTTTTTTTTTTTTTTTTATTTTCTGCATGAATTTGTTCTTCTTAAGAGGTCGTTTGGATATAAGACTTTTTGAAAAAAAAAAAAAAAAAAAAAAAATTGTCTCGCCTGAAAAAGTGAGATAAAAGATTAGAAAAAACATTTTTTTTTTTAAAAAAAAAAGGAGGTAAATTTAAAATTGTAAATGAATATGGGATAAGGGATATAATAATTAAAATTTGGTGTCATTATAAATAATAAAACATTAATTGCTAAAATTAACAATTAGAAATATGTGACTATGTGAGTGAATAAATAATATATTTTAAAAAAATATAGAATAATTATTATTTAAAAAAAATATGTGTTAGTAAGATTTGTAGAAAAATTTATATCTATATAATTGCTAGCTTATCAATAAATTTTACCTAATCAATAAAACCTATTTAATTTTACCTAATAATTTTACATCATTAAAGTTTAGTCTTAATAAATGATAGATAGGAGAGAGAAAAAAAATAAAAAGATAATGGTGTATTAATGTGCAATTAAGTAGGAGTGCAATTTGATAACTTTTTTAACACAAAAACCGTTACAATTCATTATTATTATTATTATTATTATTATTATTATGACATTATCCACTCTATCCCACTAATGATAAAATATTTTCTTGCACTTTTTGTGGTTATTGAGACAAAAATTGTTACACACTATATTAATTGAATAATAATTATATTTTTTATTGCAATAGTTATTAGTAAAATTAATAATTATATTTTACACTAAATGATATATGAAAGTTACATAAACATACAAAATTATATTGTAAAAACTTTTTGTTCAAATTATTTATTCAAAAATCAATATTATATTTATTATTTGATTAAGCTATTGTTATCTATATAATTAATTTACCTTAATGTCATAGTAAAATTTCATAAAACCAATTAAGCAACTGTTATAATAAATTTAATATTTTTCAGTTAATCAATTGGTCATTATCCCTCAAAACTACAAAATACATTATTTATTACATTTTATGCAAAAATCATTATGTACTATTTATTTTAAGCAATGATCAAATATTATAACATAATGTCATTATCTAACTTATAATTTTAATATTATATGAATAAATTTAACATATAATATTCCATGTTTGAAATATAATATCATTATCGAACTTATAATTTTAATATTATGTGCATACATATAACTTATAAATTATACTTTATTAATATATGTGCAAATGCACATTGTCGAATACTAGTAGCGGAGAAATGAATAGTACTTAAACAATTTCATTGAAATAAATTCTACCTAAACACGAAAAAATAAAAATAAATAATAAATTATGTATCCAATCGCAATCTTCTAAAAGTTGGATAGCTACGATTAAACCATAATGAAATTCACACCCTCATCCCTCCCTATATATTAATTCAAAACGTGTTGAGCCTAAATGACAGTTTTTCACGCGTCGGATGCTGACATGACGAAAATCTATGCTTAATGATGTTTTTATATTACTTTTACTCTGGAGTTATATTTGGTATTAGACATCAATAACTTTCATCATATATTTCTTAACTCAACACTCATGTTGTACATGGGTATTATACTAGTACGTGGCACGTATGTATGTATGCATGTATGTATGTATATATATATATATATATATAGGGAAATGCTACCATCCTGTTACGGTACCATCCCGTCGGATGTTTTAACCGTTGGATCATCGATCCTATCTAACTACACGTAGATCTAACGGTTAAAACAACCGACGGGATGGCACCGTAACGGGACCGTAGCATCTCCCGTATATATACATCACTCCAAAACAAAAACAAAACATAATAATGAGGAAAGGTCTCTACATAATTGGTGAATTTCCCCCATTTGCTTTTATACAAAACCACACTCAAAAGAGTCTCAAGACTACACAATCGCTTTACGAGTGTACACACACATGTAATGTAACAAGTAGTAGAGTATGTTTTTCTACCACCCAACACCCAACTTCACAAATCAACACAACATTCTCTCAATACAGTGAAAATGAAAAAGAAAAAGGAAAAAGTAATGGAATAAAGTGGGTCATCCAGAGGAAAATAAAACAAAAAAAATAAAATAAAATATACATATATAATAATAATAACAATGATGATGAAAAATAAAATAAAATTTAAAGGAGAAGAAAGAAAGAAAGGTCTCTAGATGCAGATTCGGAGATTGTAACTTGCACTGACCTCAGTTTCTTACAACAAATTCAACCTCTGCCAGAATTTCCATGCCGTTGGTTCCTAAAGAAGGTGAGTAGCTGCTGCGCCTGCAAAATAAGCACAAACACAGAAACAAATATACCAAATTACGGGCAGTTCCCTACTTGCAACCAACAAAGAAACAATCATAGTCCTTACCTTCTCCCTAGCCCTAGGCGTCCCGGACTGCGAAAGCGCAACCAATGGGGGCACGGCCCCCTCCTGCAAAACCCTGTTGCAGAACCGGCTGCTGTTGGTGCAGAGCTGAAGGAGGGCAGCCGCCGCATTCTCCTTCCCTCTCCCAGACCCGAGCTCCACCACCTCCACCAGCACCGGTATCCCCTCCTCCTGCCCGATCGCAGCCCGGCCCTCGTGGATCGTCGCCAGGTTGGACAGCACGGCCACCGCCTTGTCCACCATCCCGAACGCGGGGTCCATCAGCTCCACCAGGTGCCTCACCGCCCCGGCCTGCACAATCCGAGCCTTGTTCTCGTGGTTGATTGACAGGTTGAACAGAGCAGTCGCCGCGTCCTTCTTCCCCCTGGGGGTCCCGTTCCCAAGAAGGTCGACCAGCGGCTTTATGGCCCCCGACCGCCCGATCTTCACCTTGTTCTCCTCGATCACCGAGAGACTGAAAAGTGTGGCCGCCGAGTTCTCCTTTGCCTCGGGACTCCCGTGCTCGAGCACGTGGATCAGCGGCTCGATGGCACCGGCATTAGCAATGGCCGACTTGTTGTTGTCGTTGATGGATAGGTTGAGGAGGGCGGTGACTGCGTTCTCCTGCACGGCGAGGTCCGGCGAGCGGAGAAGGCCAACGAGAAAACCGATGGTCCCACACCCCGCGATCACGATACGGTTGTCCATGTTGTGCTTCGCGAGCAACCGGATCTCAGAGGTTGCGTTCCGCTGGGCGTCGAGGGACTCACTCTTGAGGTCCTCGACCAGCCGCTTCACCTGATTCTCAATCTCCAAGAGCTCAGGCCGCATCTCAGCTGCGGGGGATGATGAGGCGAGCCTGGGAGAAAACCGGTCGGTCGGCCGGCGCCAGAGCGCCTGCCCGCGGGCCCGCATCTCGAGCCTCGATGGGAAGTCTGGTTCCCTATGAGGGATCGTGTTTGCGGCGGCGGGTAGGGGGTCTGGGGCGAGCTCCCCTGAGACATCGGATCCCTCGACGGGAGTGCCCTGGGACCGGTTGGAATTTGAGTGGGTGCTGGAGGCAGAATTATTACGGTTGTGCCCCTGAGGTGGATTCTCGTCCGCGCCGCTCAAGTTTGGATTCCTCTCGCCAGAGTGATCCGACCGGTCGTCGGAACTTCTTGGGGAGGCTCGCTCAGCATCCGACACGTGTCCATTCGTGGGGGGAGCTGTGAAAGAATCTGAAAACGAGCGAGGGTGGGAAGGGGACGGGATCGGGCTGCGCGTCAGTGGGGAGCTCGAGGACCTGTCCGGGGTGCCGCAACTGTTGATCCTGCGGACCCCACCAGCCTCGGCGTTTACAAGGAGCAGCGAAAGCTTTGACGTTGTTTTCACGGGGTCTGGCAGTTTGACGTTGTTTGTGTCGCACCAGCTGGCAATGAGGGCTTTGACGGTGTAGTTCGGTATAAGATTCGTGTGGGCCAGGGTTTGACGCGTCTTGGGGCACACAGTCAGACCGAGGTCTATCCAGTCCCGTATGAAGGCTCGCTCGTAAGTCTGACCAGAGGCAACAATGACAGGATCTGTCATTAGCTCGAGCGAGAGCGGGCAGCAAAAGTCGGCGGGTATGGGAACGGGGTTGCAAAGTTCGGACTGTTTCAAGGAGACGAGGAGATCGTGCATGTGGGTGACCACGGCAATCATTTGGTCTATGTCCTCGACTTCACTGGTCTTTTCTGCTTGCTCGGCGTTTTCCTTCAGCTTCTCTAGAGCCACGGCCTCAATCAGGAGCTCTTGATTCGACTTTAAGCCCAGGCTGTCTGCAACTTGTGCCAGGTCATCTGAGCTAGCTTCAGGGCCCTCCACATGGTCCTTGATGGCTTTCTTGATGACAAGTGAAGTTTGTTTGGAATTTGTGCTCTGGATTTTTTGCACAAGGTTCTGCGATATATCACAGGTGGGAGAAGATATTAAAGTAAGCACCTGTCTTTCCGCTATATGCGCCACTGAGATTTCTACTGAAAGACCAAAGAGGGGAATTTAAGCAGACATTATACATTACCTCATCAGAAGATTTCAACAACTCCAGGATCTGCAAACTCTGAGCTCTAATCTTTGAAATAAGTGACTCGACCTGTAAAACCTGCATGCATATCAAGCAAGGATTAGCAAGAGCATAACTAAGAGAAACAGGCCGAAATTACAACTGAAGCCAATGGTCATTCACATACAAAGTATATTTTACTCATCAATGGCTGCCAGTTTTCACACAATTCCCTTATTTCATCAACAGATTGGAGTAGTCCTGCAAACGCACTTTGCAGCATTTCTTCTTCCACATCAGTAACAGCATCAAGTATCGTCTTCAACAATTTCAGTATCTCTTCAGCCTTTACATAATACTTTTGAACTGGTTCAATTTTAACGCTCTCACATGAAGATAGTTGGGAAAAACATGTGATGCTGTTGAGAAGTGATTTTAACATAGATATCTCCATCCCTGGTACATCATTATCAATGCTGAACCTTAGTAAGCTGCGAGCCTTAATGAAAATTTCTCAACATATTGTGACAAAAAAGGATGAGATAAGATTTGCATCCAAAATTGGGCTCAATATATTTGCAATAAATAATAAATAGATCTTTCTGTAAAATTCAGTTTGGTAAAATTAGCCAAAGAGAAAGAAGAAGAATGCAATGAGGGAAATTTAACAAGATACAACACGGAAAATCACAAAAACGCAGAAATTACAAACATCTGAATGTACACACACATAGCTGGAGCTGCTAGAAATGACTACCTTAAATCAAACTAGGGGGGAAAAAAAAGCAACTCTGAAATGGAGTTCCATTCCAGTGCCAACCTTATATCAAACTCATAATCCTATATCAGTTATTAATTGTCGCTCTTATTTCCTCTACGTGTTCCAGGGTTTGTATTTTCACTTCGATAAAGATTGTTACAAAGGGATACATTAATCACAAATAGAGTGCTAGACATCCAGATTTTAATATCAGCAACTTTAAAATAGATCGGTTATATGTTAAAGCTGGTATAAAACATAGGGATCAAGGGAATGACAACGAAACACAATAGTGATGATGGCTACTGCCTATTAGATAAGAAAGATAGGTGAAGTTAAATATCCGTTCATTTTAATTTTTCTTTGTTCTTGTTTCCTACAAGAGAACGATAAAAAATCAGAAAGAAGTAAAACTTTTTAGTGATTTAAATGCGGCACAAATGCAATCAATGTGACACATAACAAAAATAGTAAAAAGAATGATTAGATATGATTTTGTCACTGGAATGTACTGTGAGCCAACAGTGGAATTTGTGAGAGTATATAATAATAATTTTTAATGATTACAGATCCCAGGCAGGAAAGGGAGTCAAAATAACTAATAAACTAAGAGGTACATGGACCCTGTGCCAGCCAATACAACACCCTTAAAAACAAGTAATTGACAGTTATCACTTCTTGAAGATAAAATATAACATAGGAGTTTAATTAAGCAGAAAAAAAAAAGTTAAGAAGTTATGAAGTGAAAAGATATTATATATTTCATGAAACTTTCCATCAGAAATAACAAGAAACCTCTTCGCTATGGAGATCTTTGCATCCAACCACTATCTCAACTGTCATATTGGGCAGAAGATAGGCATTGTATCTCAAAATAACATCAAAAGTCTCCATGTACTGTATGGATGTTTTAAGGATAACCGAAGTCATCGAGAAGCTATTCCTAAAGGCAGCAAGAAAGGTAGTGGTGGAGAAAAGAGATGCTAAGGGTACTCATGAATTGGGTTTTACTAACTAATAAATCAAAGTAAGAGATGTGCATAATCAAGCACTTGAATAAATCATAAGAAAAATTCCAAAGGCGCAAAGTGGCACTTTCACAAATGGAAATCTAGAGATGTTGTTACTTCTCAGAGTCCTAAGTTTAATCTCCTTCTGACAATCAACAACACTCTAGAATGAGGACATTAGAACCCATTTTTAAAAAGATAATGAATCCACAGAAAACAAGCTCTCCAAGAAGTTAAGCACGTCAAACATTAGAAGCAAGATCAACATGTTTTCTTCCTTATCATGGTGGAAAAAACTGGATAACAATAAAGGTAATACGCATGAGACCTCGCTTATGGACCTAACTAACAACCCAGTTTGCATAAACTAAAGGACAGAGTAACATTGACTACATTCTATGCTTCTAGCTCAAGTAAGAATATGGAATTGCTGCAACAACATTAACTCGATTGATTAAGTTTCGATTGAATCATTGAAATCTTCGAGATCACAGTATTGAAGTGAGCGCACAAATGCAAATGCTGCTTCTATTAACAAAGCAATGGCATAATCCTTTAAATACATTGAATAATATAAGATACCTATTAAATTAAAATGGATGAAATAGGAATGCTTATCCTAAGAATGATCATTATCTCAATTATCCACCTCATTATAACAAAAAAAACCCGCAAGGTATGGAAAAAAAAGGTTGCATATTCTAGAAACTTTCTCCCAAGTGTTGTCCGACTTTGAGCGCCAGAAATGGTAAAGCGGAATAACCGCCTAGTCGCCTACCCCTTTCCAACCCTTCGTACTAGACCCGCTGATGTAGGAAAACGTACGAATGGGACGATATTAATGAGATCGCAACTCAAGAACATCTGAACACGATATTAAATCATCTTTTCATTCAATAATTCATAATCAACCAAATAAAATAAACAAGACTCCTAAACCCTATCCGTCCAACAAGACAAGATCACTTACTAAATATTAAATAATAATATTAAACTTCTAACTTTTTCTCTAAGATACCTATTATATAATAATGCAAATAATAATAATAATAATAATGATAATAATACTAGATACTGGTCTACACCACCCGCACAAGCGGATACCTTGCCCAAGAGTAGCTCTAAGTCTCTAACTGCTTAATCTAGGCCTCAACAGGCACTTGCAGAAGAAGATACTGAAAATAAAATTCTTTAATCTACAGAAAAACACTATAATCCAAGTACTAAATATCGGAATCTGATATCAGATCATCAATTTACATCTGCATGTGTAATTAGGTAATGACACTCTTTGGTAGATGCTAGCAACCTCATATCACAAAAAATAACACAAAACATTTACAACGTAATTAAATAAATATTCAAAAGATAAGATTAGATTACCCCTGTAACCAGTGTCCTAGGAGAAGCTTTAGCAGACTCAGGAAATGATCAGGTCAACTTCTAGCCGGCGATGCCCATTCATGTGCCAATCATACAAACAAAAATCATCCTTCAAAACAATCTTACCTTCGCTAAGTCCATAAAATTGATGGATTGGCCAACACATAACATTCAAGAAAAAATGAATAAACTCACACATGACATACGCATACGAGCTGGCGTGAGGGACCCAACAAAATAATTGTGCTAGAGGGAAGATGCCAGACTAAAAAGCAACAGCTGAAGAAGGACAAATAGACTAAAACTACATCAACAGAAACCAATTTCGAATAGGTAATAACATTAGGGTTTATGCAGAGAAGTCAGATCCCAAATGACGACTCTCGGTTTTTCTCTCTCCATACCCATATCCCTATCTATCAAATTCGGTGGACTTTCCTCGGTTTATCATTTTCGGTTTAGATTCTCAAAAAATGACCGATTGTAGTCATTTAGTGTATATATAGCGGCATCAACACGGGCCAGCAGGGTGGGGCGGCCAATAGGCTGGCCCACAATCATGACAAGCCAAAGAAATTTCAGCCAGCCCATCCCTGCCTCATGCCAGACCCACCCAGTACTAAAAAAACTGCTGCAAACATCATAAATTCCAATCATCCTAAAAATAATTTCTGAGACAAATATAATGCCAAGAAAATAAATGATAAAATGCCCAAACTACAACAAGTTCAACACAAATTCTCAGTCAAATACTCAAAGTATCGGCCACAATTTAATTCAGCGCACAATGAACAAAACAACAATTTCACCCAAATTAAGCCAAATAATCAACCCTAATTCGAGATCCATGGTACCTGATGTGCTCCGTAATGGGCTCGGGAAAGACCGGACTTGAGCTGGAAAGGACTGGGCTACCGGACTTGGTGCGCTGCTGTCGTGTGCGGTGGTCGATATACTTCGCTCTGCTGTGGTGTCTTCGCTGCGCCTAGTGGTGGTTGCCGCCGCTACGTGCGTGAATCGGAGATTGAAGAGATTTTAGGGTTCCTTAATTTTTTGGCCTTCTTAATTATTTGGGGCAATTATGCAGACGGGATATGATATTGATATGGTGGAGATGGGTTTATACCCTTTGTTTGTTTTTTTTTTTTTTTTGTTAGTACATTGTTTTTTTGACGGAATTTAACGCGTGCAGGTAGTCCAACTGCATTAGGGTGTTGTACAATTGCGACAAATCGTTCTCCAAAGTTGACTGTTAATTGTCCTGGGTACAATTATTCTTAGCATTGCAACCATTGAAGGTTCGTTCGTGTTTGATAAAAACTCGTTTGTTTGTTACTCGAATGGACACGAGCTCGTTCGTGAATGTTCGAGTTTCAACGATGTTCGCGAACATTAGTTTAATATAATATTGTTTTTTATATATTTACATAATATTTTTAATAAAAATGAGTAATGTTATATGTACATAATATTGTACATAGAGGTGTACATAACACTCACATTGAGTGGGACACATTAAAAATAAATAAATCAATCAAATAGACCCCACTCCATGTGAGTGTTATGTACATCTTTATGTACATTTATTATGTACATATAGCATTACTCAATAAAAATTCTAAAATATAAAATATTTTTATTTTATTTTTTAGTTCGAACGAACAAATTTTGAGGTAATCAAACATATTTAAAAAGTTTATGTATTGAACTACTCGAATACGAACGAACTCGAGTTTTGACGAACAATTAAACGAACGAGCTCGAACACGATTTTTTGCTCGAAAAATAAATGAACGAACACGAACATTGTTCGAACATAAACGAACACGAACTCGAACAGCCTAAGCTCGATTCAATTCAATTCGTTTACAACACTAAGTACATACAGTCATATTGATGGTGCAAACCAACTCGGCCCAGGAAAATGTCAATTATTTAATTTATGTACTATATTATTCGACATATTTTGCAATATATAGGGAGGGATCTAGTAAATTATTCATACACAAACAATTCAACTTTGAAAAATAATTAAACAAACATTTTTACTCTAAAATTTTGCTTGAATAATATATTGAGTTCGAGCTAATCGAAAGTTCAATAAGTTTATTCAGCAAATTATTCACAAAAAAAAATAATAATAACAATTAAACGAAAATTTTTATATCTAAATTTGTGCTCAAATAATAAGAGAAACATGTAAACGAAAATTTTTATATCTAAATATGTGCCCAACTAATAAATGATCGTGTTAAACGATAGTGTTCGAGCTTAATCAAACGAAAGTAC